CCCACAACTTCTCTGGGCAACCACTGCCAGAGTCTCCCCACCCTCATTATCCCCCTCATCTGTCTCAGAATCTCCCCAGTTCCAGTTTCAAGCCACTCCCCCTGCTCCCATCCCTCCCTGCCCCTGTCCCAAGCCCCTCCCCAGCTTTCCTGGAGCCCCTCCAGGCCTTGGAAGGTTCTCCAAGGTCTCCCTGGAACCTCCTCCTCTCCAGTTGGGACAATCCCAACTCTCCCGGTTCCTCCAACCCTCGGATCATCTCCATGGCTTCCCTCTGGGAATTCCACATCCTTGAGTTGGGAGGCTCCAAGAACTGCCCCCAACCCTCCAGGTGGGAAGGGGGGGGTCTCCCCAAACCCCTCCCCAGTTAGGAGGGGACAACCTCAAGGTTCTGCCACGTCCCCCCCCCCCAGGAGAGGAACCCACCGGAGCGCGCGGCTGAAGGCGGAGAAGAGGGGAAAGGCTGGAATGTCATCGGGTTTCTTGAAGGCCCAGTAATAGGAGGCAAAAGCCCCAGCCAAGGTCACCTGGCCCAGGGCGATGACAAAGTTGGCCAACCAGAAGAACATGAAGAGGTTGAAGAACTGGAGCACGACCTGGTACTTGTGGTAGGAGGTTTCGCCGCCGTAGAAGGCGAAGAGACATCGGGCGTCGGGGCAGAGCCTGGTGATGTTGGTGGTGTTGAAGGTCTGGAGAGGAGAGCAGAGGGGTCAGGGCCCCCCCAGGGACCTGCCATGGGGAGGGACCCACCCAAGGATTCCCCTCCCAGGATCAAGAACAGAAGGGTTGGGAAGGAGTTCCCGGGATGGGAGGAAGGGAATCCCCGGCAGGAGCCACGTCCACACCTGGTCTGGGCACCTCCAGGGGTGGGGAATCCACCACTTCCCCTGGGCAGCTCCTCCCAGGGCCTGGCCACTCGTTTGGGAGAAGAAATTCTTCCCCAAGGTCCCACCTCAACCTCTCCCTGGAGGAACTTGGGAGGCCCTTTCCTCTGCTCCTCTCGGAAGAGACCAACCCCCCTCACCAACCTCCTCCCAGCTGCAGAGCCAGGAGGTCCCTCCTCAGCCTCCTCCTCTCCAGGATGGACACCCCAGCTCCCCCAGCTGCTCCTCACATGTTCTCCAGCCCCTT